CGTTCTTTTAGTAGAACTGAAATACTTGGTTTTTCCCTTGGTCCTTGGGCTGTCTAGTCTTAGGTTCTTGGCCACCAAAGCAGTGTTAGGTATGGGTTTAATCTAGTGGAGTGTACCTGAGTCACATCAGATATTGGCTGGTTACTTCCACAAGCTTTGCCCCACCATTGCATTAGCATGTCTTGTGGATAGGACAGTGTTGTAGATCGAAGGGTTTGTAAGCCAGGCTGGTGTTTGTTTCTCCTTTGGTAGCATGCAGAGTACCTCCTGTACCGGAGACAATAGCTTGTAGGGGAAAGTCTCTATGTAGGTACCGGCTGGATTTCTCCACATTCAGTGATTTGTTGTAGGTGCTGTCTTCAGCAGTAGGGCCTTGCCACCAGTTTGTGGAGAGCAACCTATAGTGTTGGCAAGAGCCTGGGTTGTTTGGGGGTTCCCATGGGAACCCTTTGACCAACAACTCAAATGTAATCCATTTCTGGTACTGGAGGCTTCATTTGGTGATGAGAGCTGTCCAGTTAGGGTGGTTTTATTTAAATTGCCTTCATATATTTGTATATTTTAGGAAGCTTCTACTGCATTGGGCTTCTATACTACCCCTCAAATGGCCCTTCATTTTAGCTGCCTATCCTCATATCCTCTCTCATCTGTCCCCTTCCCCCTTCCCCACTTGATCCCCCTGTTCCAGTTGTCCTCCCCCATCCCAACTATAATTATTTATTCTGTTTCCCTTTCCTAGGGAGATGTATCTGTTCCTGCTAGTCCCTTACTCTATACCTAACCTCTGTGGTTCTAGATTATACCTCGGTTATTATTGACTTAATAGCTAATATCCACATATAAGAGAATACATACCATTTTTGTCTTTCTTGGGTTACCTCACTTAGTATGATTTTTTTCTAGTTCTACCCATTTACCTGGAACTTTTACAATTTCATTTTTTTAAAAACCAGCTGAGTAATATTCCATATTGTAAATGCACCATATTTTCACTATCCAATCATCTGTTGAGGGACATCTAGGTTGTTTCCAATTTATGGCTATTGTGAATAGAGCAACAGTGAACATGGTTGAGCAACTGTCTCTGTGGTAGGATACCCAAGAGTGCTATAGCTGGATCTTGAGGTAGATCGATACCCATCTTCCTGAGGAACCTTGCCACATTGATTGCCATAGTGGCTGTACAAGTTTGCAGGCTCACCAGCATGGATAAGTGTTCCCCTTACTCCACATCCTAGCCAGCATAAGTTGTCATTTGTTTTATTGTCTTAGTCATTGTGACAGGTGTAAGATGAAATGTAAATCAAGAAGACTTTTTTTTTTCTTTTCTTTTTTGTTAGCTTGGAGATTGGGTAAAACAGAACAAAGCTGAGACATAAACTTAGGATATAATCTAGTATAGATATGAGAAGAGGACATAAATCATACAAAGTTATGGCAGCGTAAATGAAAAAGAAGCAACTAGAGCAGTGGTTCTCAACCTATGGACTGCGACCCCTTGGGGAGCAGATATTACATGATGATTTATAACATAGCAAAATTACAATTATGAATAGCAATGGAAATTTTGTGGTTGAGGGTCACCACAAGAGGCGCTGTATTAAAAGGTTGCAGTGTTAGGAAGGTTGAGAAGCATGGAAAGTAGACTGACGTGGTTTGATGGTGATTACATTTGGAAAGCAGTGGGTAGTAAGAGGAGTCAGTAAATCATCTAGATTATCTACCGAGACTCTTGAGAGGTGTTACAAAAATAATGCCTGGTAGAATAGCTTCTAAGACATGGTGTCCTTTCTTTGTGAGTATCTGCAATCAACTTAACTATGTGCTTGCACAGTCTTTCCAGTATTGCTAAGGAAATACTTCCATGAATAATCTACAGTGTCTATGAGCTAGGAGTTGATATTCAAATCACTATTGGAAATGCCTAGGCCAATTTTGAAAAATTAAGTTATAGTTATTTTTATTATAGAATATTCAGTTCAAGAATTAATAGAAAACTACAGATTTTAATTTTTTTTCTGTTTTTTTTTTTTTTTTTTTCCGAGACAGGTTTTCTCTGTGTAGTTTTGGTACCTGTCCTGGATCTTACTCTGTAGCCCAGGCTGGCCTCGAACTCATAGAGATCCACCTGGCTCTGCCTCCCGAGTGCTGATATTAAAGGCGTGCGCCACCACTGCCTGGCTCAGATTTTAATTTTTGCATAGTTAGATTTTCATGAAAGAAACTCAAATAACTTGTGAACCATTTAATGTATAAATTAATATCTATATTTTATTTTATGTAATCTGTATGAGTGATTTGCCAGCATGCATATCTGTACACCGTGTGTGTGCCTAGTGCTGGAAGAGGCTAGAAGAGGTTATTAGATCCCCAGGAACTGGAGTTAGAGACCATTGTGAGTTGCCATATGGGTCCTGGGAATCAAACCCAGGTCCTGTGGAAAAACAACCACTTCTCTTAACCACTGAACCATCTCTTCAATTCCCTAATAACCATATTTTTTAAAAAAGAAATTTTTAGAGGCTAGAGAGATGGCTCAGCGGTGAAGAGCACTTGTTCTTAGGGAGAACCTGGGTTTCCTTCCCAGAACCCACATGGTGACTTACAACCATTTGTAACTCCAGTTCTGGGGATCTGATGAAGACACCAGGCATGGATGTGGTGGGCATACATACACAAAGGCAAATACATATAAAATAAATAAATAATTTAAAAAATATTTGGTTTTTGTTTTATACAGATGTTTTATATGTATACTTTTTTTTTTCATTTATGTACGTGTGCTGCATGACTTACAGGTACCTGTGGAGGACCGAACAGGGACTGGATCCCCTAGAACTGAGGTTACAGACAGTTGTAAGCTACCATGCAGGTGCTAGGAACTGAACCTAAGTACTCTGCAGGAGCAACCAATGCTTTTAACTGCTAAGTCATCTTTCCATTCCTTATAAAATATAATCACTGTAGATACTAGATTGCTTAAGAGCACTTACATTCTTTTTTTAGTTTTCACTTTTCCAGTATTAGGAATTGAACTTAGGACTTTACTTGTTCTTGGCAGTTGTTCCACTACTTAACTATAACCCCAACCCTTGAGTTTGTTGACCCTGGGTCTTCCCATGTAGCCCAAGCTGACTTTGAGTTAATCCTCGCCTTTGCCTCTTTATACTACTGGGATTCCATGTGGAGTACTATACTTGGCTTAGATTGCTTAGTTTTTGGTTATTGTAATCTATGAAACCAGTTTATTAATGCTAATACTAATAATGACTACTTATTAAGTACTTTTCATGTGCTTGGCTAAGCTCTTTTTGTTGATTTTCACATTCTGTACAATAACCATAGCGATTCACTATTTTCATTATGAGGAAGCAAAATTGAGAGATGTCATCAATTTAGAAAAGGCTGTGTGTATATGAAGAAAACAATATAGCTGAAATTAAGGAAGCTTGAATATAGTCTTCTGGTCATAACATGATGTTTTATAATTACTTTTAAACTTTATTTTCTTCCTTTTTGTTTATTCTAACATAGTTGGAGTCTATTGGCTTAATTTTGAATTTAAATCCAGTACAGCTAGGCATATTCTCATACTTGGTAACTGAATTTTATTAACTGATTATTAATAAAAGTATTAAGTCATCCTTCTGTCGAGAATTTACTTTAAGATTGGAGTGTAGCTCAGTTGATAGAATGTCTGTGTAGCATATGTGAAGCCCTGGGCCTGATGCTGCATGCCTCTAATTCTACAGGGAGATGGAGGCAGGAGGATCAGAAGTTTCAGGTCCTTCTCAGTTACCTGGGGAGTTTGATATATGTACCCTGTCTAAACAAACAAAAACGGTTTTTAAACTGTCAGGCAGAATCCAAACCAAAAGTGTTTAATGCACTTTTACTGTTTAGACCAATGAACATATGATTTCTTTAGTTTTAGCCCAGTAATTTAGGCTTGTGATATATAGAATTAAAAAGTTACAAAGGGTCTCTTTACTTGATATCTAATGCTAAGGTGTAAAAGGGACTGCTAGAAGTTCATGTATGTCATCTAGTAGGGATCATGAAATAGTCTGTGTAGCCAGTTAGTAAATAGCTTTGAAAGCCATATGGTCCTTTTTGCAACTTTGCAAGTGTTTGAAAGCAGCTGTAGATAATATGTAAGCAAGAGAGAGAATATCATCCAATAAAACTACAAAACCAGGCAGCAGATTAAATTTGGCACATTTGACCAATCTCTGCTCCAGAGAATCTTCTAATTTCTGACTGAAAGCTGAGGTTCATGTATGACAAAGCATGTATACACAGTGGGAGTTTTCCTTCTCTGAATGGATTGGCGCAAACAAATGTGCCAAAAGTCACCATAGTGTGAAGGGTAGGTGCCTAAATAGTGAAGCATCCTTTTTGAATAGCATTTTTATGACTACTTCAATTATTTTATTATTCCAGAATATACATGTATATATTTCCTCATTAAAATTGTTACTTTTAGTCTTGAAAAGCAAATCTACTGTTTGAAATTTTCACTAATTCTGATGTTTCCTTTTCCGTATCATAGTTAGGAAGGCTTAATATAAAAGGATGTGGCACATAACTGGGTGGTGATTTTGAATTTATTTTTAAGATGTCAGTAGATAGACAAATTAAATTGCTTTGTTGTTGTTGTTTTTCCTCAAGACAGAGTTTCTCTGTATGTAGCCTTAGCTGTCCTGGAACTCACTGTGTAGATCAGGCTGTCTCACAGAGATCCACCTGTCTCTGCCTCCTGAGTTCTGGGATTAAAGGTGTGCGCCACCACCAGCTGGCTAGTTTGGTTGTATAAACATGTACAGTTGAATTACTGGTTATTAAAAGAGTTCTCTGGTTTTGGTGTTATGTACAGTTCGCATTGTAAATGGTTAGATACAGTGCCTTTTGGTGCTACAAAATTTTAGCAAATGTCATTTATGGTTGTGGCTAATATGGTGTATTAGACATTAAGTATAGAATATACTTATTATTCTCAGAGATTCGTCAGCGAACTGCAGCTCAAAGAAACCTTTCCTCAGCACCAGCAAGCTCTACTCAGGGCCCTCCTTCACAAGTTCCAGTATCTCCTGGGCCATCAAAGGATGCTTCAGCTCCTGGGGGACCTCCAGAAAGGACTATTGCTCCAGCCTTACCCAGGCGCCTTGGATCCCCTGCTACTTCAGTGCCTGGAATGGGTAAACAGAGCACTTAATGTTATTTACAGTTTATATTGTTTTCTCTGGTTACCAATAAAATGGGCCATTTTCAGACAGTATGGAAATGGCATTTCATTTGGAAATAGCAGAGCAGTTATCTGATTAAGCGGGAGTTCCATATTCAATTAGCTATAACTCTTTACAGCTGGCACCTTGTGATACCAAAACCTATTTCTTGAGCTCATTTAACTGTTATGGCTTCTTTGTTTAAATGGCAATAAAACTTTGTAGCATTCTGTAGTCTACAGTGTAGCATTATCTTTTTATATTCAATTCTTAGAATGGCTCCAGATTTATATATGGTAGGGATAGAGGAGAGCACTTTAGCAAGTACTCATATTCTTTGCTAATTCCTCATATAGACACTAAAACTTGACAATTACCATATTTCAGGAAAAATATTCAAGCATTGTAGTGCCTGATATTACTTTTGTAAATATGAGCTAGTAGATTTTTTTCTCTTAAGTCATGGAACTATAGTGTTTTCTGATAGGTTCCTTTTAAGTTCTCTTAATAGTGTGATAGATCTGTAGATTTTATTCAGGTGTCTAACATATGGCCAGCTACTTTTTTTTTTGAAGTGTGATTAGGGCATGGAAATCTATTCACTGCTTTAGCAGATGATGCTGTTTCATGTAGATTTCCATGTCAGATTATTAAATAAGGGTAAACTATATTTTATTTATGGTATTTAATTCTAATACAGGTACTTTAGTACTTCATAACTAATTGCTACTATATAAATAGAGTAATGATTTTTGAGAGTAGACACTACTTTAATCAAGTGAGTTATTAGAGCATTTATGTAAATAAAAAGCCCCGGTGTTATTTATGGTAGATTCTTGCTTGTGTTCCTGTAAAAATGCAACTAACATTGTAGAAGACTAAGAAACTATTGATTTACAAATTAAAATAACTGACTATAAATGGAATGCATAAAAATCTTAGTATTTAAAATGATTTTAATAATACATCAAAATTTTATGTGTAGTGATAAAAATAGTCATATATTTTGTGAAACTGAGAAAGTTTTATTGGTTGAAAACAATTCATTTTCCAGTTGTTATCTAGGTGATTTGAGATACCCATAATTTGTAAATTCAAGTTTTGGTTATTGAATGTAAGAACCTCCGGTGAGAGTCTTTGACTCCCATGCAGCTTACCCACTTACATAGTTGTAAGGACAACACTGTATAGCATAGGGCTATACAAGCAACTGTAGCTTAGATTTCATGTACATGTAAGTAAAGCATGTGTTGCCTAAGTTTCTAATTAGTTTCTGTGGAAATACTGTTTATATTGTACATTGCCAAAAATATGAATTAGTTAAATAATTTATTATAGAGAAAATTAATAATTCATTTTCTATTCCAACATGTTTGTGAGAGAATCAATTTAATGTATATTACCGCAGTGCTCCCATATGTTTGAAAATTAATAACCAGCAGGTACTTGATAATTTGCCAAACTGTAAAGATGCCCAGTATTCCTACAATAATTGCTTTTGATGGTTATTATTTACTGTTCCCCATGACAACATGAGTATTAAGGTGCATTATTTTCTTTTTTTTTTTTGGTTTTCGAGACAGGGTTTCTCTGTGTAGCTTTGTGCCTTTCCTGGAGCTTACTCTGTAGACCAGGCTGGCCTTGAACTCACAAAGATCCGCCTGCCTCTGCCTCCCGAGTGCTGGGATTAAAGGCGTGCGCCACCACTGCCCGGCCAAGGTGCATTATTTTCGAAGTTGCCAAGTTATTTAACTAAGTTATTACCAAGTTGCAGGAAGCTTAAGATACTTTAATGAAATCTTTTATGTATCCAGATTGCTTTGTGTACATGTTCATTTTAAATATGTAGAAGTAAAATACTCCAGCAAGTTAAGTTGATGTGAATGCTTTCAAAATCCAGTTTGGAAACTGGGAATGTAGCTCAGTGGTAGAATGTTTGCCTGAGTACTACACTAGCTACACATACATTTTTATGTTTCCTTTTTTTTTTTTAATTTAGCTAAGTATTTTCTGATTTCTGTTTTGATTCTGCTTTTCATCCTGGGTTAGTTAGATATGTTACATAGTCTTAAATGTTTTGTGAGCTTTAAGATGTTTCCTGATGCTGATTCTAATTCTTCTGTAGTCAGAAAATATACTGTGTGCTGTTTGGATCTGATTAAATGTATTAAGACTTGTATAATGACCTATTACGTCATACCTTGGTAACTGCTTTCTCTCTGCTTGAAAAAAAAACATGTATTTGTTCCTGTTGGGTAAAAATCCATTAGATAAAGCTGTTAGTAGTGAGTGTTCAAGTCTTTTTTTTCTGATTTTATGTAGATTTAATTTTTTATCAATTATTGGTAGGAAAATGTTAAAACCTTCAACTGTAATTTTATATTTGTCTATTTTTTCTTAAATTTCTATTAGTGTTTGTTTCATGTGTTTGAAGTTCTGTTATGATGCACTTACATGTTTGGCATGGTTCTTTAAGGAAAAACTGTAACACTTATTCATTTATGGGTGTGTATGCATGGGTGTGTGCATGTGTATGGAGGTCAGAAGAAAACTTACTGGATTAGGCTCTCTCCACCGTGTAGGTTCCAGAGATTGAACTCCTGACATCAGGCTTGGTGGCAAGCACCTTTACCCCTGAGCCATCTGGGTGGCCCCTAGTTCTTGATAAGCTAATGCCTTTGTCCTTGTGAACTGTATAGTCATCTAAGGTTTCTTTTCTGTTTTTTTTTTTTTTTTTTTGGTTTTTCGAGACAGGGTTTCTCTGTGTAGCTTTGCGCCTTTCCTGGAACTCACTTGGTAGCCCAGGCTGGCCTCAAACTCACAGAGATCCGCCTGCCTCTGCCTCCCGAGTGCTGGGATTAAAGGCATGCGCCACCACCGCCTGGCCATCTAAGGTTTCTTATGCTTCATGTTAGCATAGTTTTATATTTTACTTAAAATTTATTTTCCCTGTTCTTAAAAATATATACACAGCGTATATTGAAGAGTTGCTTCTTTGTCCAGTCTGACATCCTGTTTCATTGTGGGGTGCTGACCATGATGCAGTGCTTATGTTTGGGTTTGAGTTTAAACGTTCCATGTGAAAATGAACTCATTTGTCCCACGCCTGTGCTACCCTTCTTCTCATTGGCTGCCTCCCCTTGAACTGAAGGTTTTTATGACTACAATTTAATCCTTTTTCACTGCTGTATTGTTTATAACACTTCTTTTGGCATGTGATTTTAATGGCTGTGTTGAGATTTAGTAAATACCTCTAATCACAGTTGTTCATGTGATATGATACGTCTCACAGTTGTAAAAATCTGATGAAAATATATTTAACATTTTCCCTCTCTTGTGCTATTTATTTAGTATTTATTTTAGTTCTCTTGCTTTTATTTTACATTTTACTTCTACACATATTATAAATCTCACAGTTATTTTTTATTTCATCAGTTATGCAGTCTCAGTATATAGCCTTGGCTGACATGGAACCTGCTGTGTACACAGAGTTCCACAAGCTTCTGCCTCCCAAGTGCTGGGATCAAAGGTGTTCACAACCAAGCCCACCCTTCTATGTTTGTGAGCCTAGCTCCCGTGGAGGACAGAAGAGGGCATCAGATGTTATGGGACTGGAGTTACAGATGGTTGTGAGCCTCCATGTGGGTGCTGGCAAACAAATCCAGCTCCTCTGAAAGAGCAACCAGTGCTTTAACAGCTGAGCTACCACTGAAGCTTAGATTCATTTCTTGTCATCTCTTCCTTTGGCTTCAAGGACTTTTAAAAATTATTCTTGAAATGTAGTTTGGCCAATGATGAATTCTTTGTTTTGAACATTTGGAAAAAGACCTCATTTTGCCTTGTCTTCATTTATAAAAGACATTTATGCTGGATGCAGATTCTAGTCTGACAGCTTTCATTTTCAGAATGTTAAAGATAAGTTTCATTTTAGCTTGCATCTGATGAAAAGTCTGCTCTCATTTTTTTTTCCATAATGTAACCCTTTTGGCCTCCTGTTAAGCAGTTTGATCATTTTTGGGGTGTGTGTGTGCAAAATTGTGTGTCTTGTGTTTGGGATTTGTAAGATTCTTTGGTCTGTGGTTTTAAAACTTTCAAATTTGGAAAAAAGATATATTATTTCTTCAATTATGTATATTTTTCTTCTCCCTACAGAACTGTTCATTTGACTGTTTGAAATTGTTCTACAACTTACTAATTCTTCCCCCTGCCCCGTTTAATTTTTATTTTGTATGGTTTCTATTGCTATGTCTTCAAGTACACCAATATCTTTTTTTATAATGTCTAAATGTCTGTTTATCTCATCTGTGGATTATTTTTATCCTACACATTGTAGACTTCATCTGTGAAGTTTAGTGTACTTGTAGTTTTTTCTCATGTCTTTATTAAGCATACTTAGGTTCTCAAACATGTAGAAATGTTTTAGTATTTTTACCTACCATTTCAGTCATATCTCAAACAATTTTTCTCATTATACATTGTATTTTTGTTCGTTTGTTTGTTTGCATGGCTAGTATTTTTTGAATGCCAGACGTTGCAAATTTTACATTACTATGTTTCTTCTTTCTCCTCCTCTCCCCTCCCCCTTTTTTTGTTTTTGTTTTTTGAGATTTTCTATTCTAGCTCTTGGAAATAAGCACTCATTCTGACTGTGTGTGAATACTGTTTCCTTCAATCTTTTAGAGGAGATTTTTCTCCTCTCAGGTAGATTTTTAGATACATGGCCTGGTCAGTAGTGTGCTCAGTGTTTCAGAGGCACTCTGTAGTGCTTAAGTGTAGCAGACTTTCTTTTGGGCCACCAGCCAGCTCCCAGGTCATGACATGGAGACTTCTTATTAGTTCTGAATGCTGGGCTGTACATTAGGCTTGTTTCTGGCTAGCTTTTTTTTTTTTTTAATCTGAAATTAACCTGTTTTTCTTCATCTACATTTTGCCTCAGGGCTTTTTACCTTTCTTTCATTCTTTATGTCCTACTTTTTCTGCTACTTCTGTGTCTGACTGTCTGGTGGCTGCCTGGCTGGCTGGCCGTGGCCGTTTCCTTCAATTTCTTCTCTCTCGAGCCTAGATTCCTCCTCCTGCTTATTCTCTCTGCCTGCCTCCTATCCCTCTACTGCCTAGCTATTGGCTGTTCAGCTTTTTATTATACCAATCAGGTGCCTTAAGCAGGCAAGGTAAAACAACAACACATCTTTACATAATTAAACACATGCAGCATAAATAGATGTAGCACATCTTTGCCTAGTTAAACAAATGCAACATAAATAAATGCAACACACCTTTGCATAGTTAAAGTCATATTCCACAACACTTAAGTGAATTTTTTTCTTCATGTCGTCTTTGACACTGTCATGTGAATTTCAGCTGCGGTGGTTTCCCTAGACTTCCAGTGCTATCTTTTCAGCTCTGGGAGACAGCTGTAGTTCCTCTGGGGTTAGCTCCCTTCCTCTGCTTAGAAACTGTCTGTAAGCAAAAGGCTGGTCTGTTTGCAGGGTTTTTCTTGGTTTTTAGTTTTCTAAGGGAAATTTAACCTATATTGCTTGCTACACATGTTGTTAATTCTTAATATACTTCATCTATTTCTCACAATCTTTGGGGAAGGTAACCCTAATCTGTTACTCTGAGTCCAAAGTAAAAGTCTCTAAATTATTACCATAGGCTTTTAGGAATAGGGTATTTTAAAAATTAGTTTGTACAGAACCCAACATAGTTTCATATCCTAATAAATTACATTGGTGGTTCTGATGTACATATATAGTAGATTTTTATAGTATGGTTCATTAAACATTTAATGCTGTATAGAGATTTATAAGAGTTAGTATTTTATTGTTTTAAAATCTTTTAAATGTTCTAACACACCTAAATCACTTTGGCAGTTGGATTAAATCTTGTGTATGTATCTTATATATACAAATTTCATGTGTTTTTATTTATTTACTAGGCCATCATCCTCCAGGTCCACCCTTAGCAAGACCCATTCTCCCCCGAGAACGAGGTGCTCTGGATAGAATTGTGGAATATTTAGTTGGTGATGGTCCACAGAACAGGTAATGTTTGCTAAGCTAGTAGGTAAAGGGACATGAAAACAACATTATTGGCAGTGTATGTACATATCTGTGATGTTTTGTGGCTTGTATGTGTACATTTAATTCTGCTATCATATTAGAGAAATTGAATTATTTTGTTCAAACTATTAAACATGAAGAGAGCAAAAATAGCAAAAACCTGGTAGGTTAATGGGAAATTGGTTTTTTAATGTGTATCACTGTTGTTGGTGATGATGGAAATACTTCCAATAGTAATGAAAACAATTTGCATTATTTAACTCTTACTATTTTTCAAATGTTTTTCAGATTATTATATTACTTGGTCCTTACCATAAATCTAGGAAGGTAGTTATGAGTGTGCAAAACATTTGTAGGCTTTCAAAAAAGGGATAGTAGAGTACATGTTTGACAGCTTTACTTGTTGGTATTAGTTTCATAAAGGGAACATAGTTTAATTCTAATATAAGTTGTATGTTATTCAAAACAGAATGATTTGATTAAGCCAAGAATCTGTTGAGTTCTGATTATAGAACAGAAAATGAGAATGATGTTTAAGTGTAACTGATAATGAGAAAGGTATAGGAACCACATCATATAAAATTTTACTATTGGCCTTAATTATATAGAATTAAATGTATTTATTTTCTGCAAGATTTCTCAGGGCTTCTTTTTATTTTATTTTTTATATTTGTTGTGAATCTCTAAGAAGGTTGCATCATTTCCGATTTTATGAAATCACAAATTTGGAAGCTATCATACCAAGGAATAAATCATTGAGAAATTTGTTTGTTGCTAAACTTAAAAAAAAACCATTTTTTATTATTTTTTAAGTTGTGTATATGTATGTGTGTCTGTGAATATTAATGTAGGTACACAAAGAAGACAGAGGCATGAATCCTGGAGCTAGAGTTACAGGTGGTTGTGAGATGCCTGTTATAGGTGCTAGGAATCAAACTCAGGTCTGGAAGAGCAGTATATACTATGATCTTCACTGCTGAGCTATTTCTCAAGCCCTTGATTACTAAACTTGTTTCTGTTGACTTAGGATATATTCAACTGTTCTTCAGTTGATTTTTAATATCATGTATAAACTATAGATACATATGTACACACATATATACATCTGTTTATATATACATGTATACATTTAAATGCTTTATGTTCTGTGTTTGTTTTATTTTTAAGTATTTATTTATTAGGTGCTGGGAAAAGAACTGAGGATCTCGCACATGCTAAGCAAGCATCCTATCAATAAGCTATACTGCCACTTCTTAAATTATATTTCAAACTGGTTGAAATTTTGGTTTTGGTTAACTTCAGCTTTTGCTTAAGGAGTGTTATTAATGATTTGCTAACATTTGTTTATTATGGCATAGTCATCTGTTTTGATATAAGTCACAATGGCTGAGTGGCCTCTCTGGTGAGCTTTATATGTAGTTGTAACCGGTGTGTTATTTTCCTTTGTGGTGTAGGTACGCCCTCATATGTCAGCAGTGTTTTTCCCACAATGGCATGGCTTTAAAGGAAGAGTTTGAATACATTGGTAAGGAGTTTTGGAGAGTTAGGTTTAAATATTTTACTCTTAAATATATTATTCTCATCTACTCCCGTGTAATATCATTTTATTTTAGGTACTGCCTGTACATATTAACCAGGTACATTGTCTCCTTATTTAATACTAAAAATGAAGGAGAAAAGCTAACTCAATTCTTTTTTAAAATGCACAGCTTCTAGGCTAGCTGTTTTCAGATATTCTGCTACCCAGACCTACCTACAGGGAGTCTGATTTAATTACTGGGGTGGCATCTAAGCATTAACATATACTTTTAAGATCACCAATTATTTTCACACGCAGCCATTATTAAATGCTCACGTGATAAATTTTGCTTTAGGGATATAACACTATATCTTCTTGGACAAGATTCTGGGTTTTAAAATATGTAATTATTCTATTGACTAGAAATGCAAGTTCAGTCAAGTATTTAATAATTTATATAGTTTTGCTATTAAACTGCTATTTAACTTGTTACACCTTTTCTACTTTAAAATTAATATTTGAATTCTCATAGTAATCATGTAGTATGCTTTGAAATTAATGTTGATTAGAACACCTATTGTAATAGTAAGGTAACAAATTCAGAAGTTATAAATTTATAACTTGAGTCTGACTATTTATAAAAGTAATCTTGTGAGTTATCTGGTTTGTTCTTGATTTGGTTGATTTTTTTTCTTTATTCAAAAAAAATTCTATGCAGCTTTTCGATGTGCCTACTGTTTTTTCTTGAATCCTGCAAGAAAAACCAGACCTCAAGCTCCACGACTTCCAGAGTTTAGTTTTGAAAAGAAGCAAGCAGTGGAAGGCTCAAGTTCAGCTGGTCCCATGTCATCAGAAAGTGTACCCTCACCAGAGAGCCAGTTCAGTGAAGGTAGGAATCTGTTAACTGAAGTGTTTGTCTTGGTACTGTGTGTAGCTTAATAATAAGAGCACAATACTTATAAGATGACAATGGGTTAATTTATCAAGTTCTTCAGCATGCATATGTCAGCTGTTGCACTGATGGCTTCTTCTGTGATGGATATGATTGATGTGTTTCAGTTTTCAAATGCAGATTATGTTGTGATCAACAGCATCTAGCACCAATTGGCTAAGCATTGTGTATGGAATGAACTCTTCTGAAGTCCAAGAGACTTATTAGTGATGCTCCCGTGGAATCATTTGGTGTGTCTAAATGAAGCACTGAAATCATGAAACAACTGTTCTAAGGACAAAATATTTAGAATATGTGTGGGTAGAATAGGTGTATGTCTACCATTCAGGTTGGTCATTGGTAGAAATGACCAGAAAGCAGGAAACTTAGGAGTTGGAACGTCATCTTTGCATGTTTTGGACAATTTGGTTAATAGTAATAGCACTTTGTTTCATTTGGACAGTTTATTAGAAGTCCATGAGCTTAACAGGGCCAGTGATAAAGGAGTCACTTGGTTGTATGGAAATAAGATTTATCAGAGCTTGTGTTTTAGAATTATTCTTGCAAGTCTATCTTAAGAATTCTTAAGGAAGTTTCATGAAAAAATGGAAAAGGTGAAATAGAAAACTGCCAGCTATTTCTCGTTATTAGTATTCACTCATTTTTTTTGTTACTCTGTTCTAAATTATGAAGATGGCTAAAATTATGAAACAGACCATAGTATTTTGGTACTGTTGCCTAGTGTATAAAAACATCCTGGAAGTTCACAAATTTAGTAGCAATTATCATTTATATACTTTTGATTTATCTTTCATAAAAGCATTAAAATTGCTTTAGCTGGATTATATGAAGCAGTGAATATTTTAGATATCAGAAGGTTAGTATGAGAGTCAAGGTTTTTTTTTTAAACTTTGAGGAATGAACCTGAAATATGTGTGGAATTGGGCTTGGCTTTTGGCTTACTAACAAGTGTCAAAGTGAACATGAATACAGACAGCTGTGACTGAGCCTGTGTCCTTCCAACGCTGAGTGAATGCATCTTCGTCTCCAAGTCTGCAGCATCAACTCCAAACACAGTGTCAACCTTGTTTTTGCTTTAAGTCATGCTCTGAGCTGCATGCTGACACATGCAAACCATCTGCCTTGGCATTGCAGCCTCTTGGAACTGAGAATAAAGGGTTTTATACCGAAGATCTAGAGGAAAACACTGAAGTCCCTTCCATGAGTAACCTTGCTTATGAAAGCTAAAGTGAATGCTTGAAAGCCAGTAGTATTTTTTGTTTGATTTTTTTTTTAAAGAGAAGAAAAAAAAACTCCAATAAAATATAAATCTTGATAATGGGTCCTATTCTTTATTTCTTCTACTAAGGTCAAGATGGATAGTTAGCAAACAACACACAGCTATACCTTTCCTTCTCATCTAATCTAGGAGGAACAATACCTCAGATGTCTCATTTTCTATCTGAAATCTCCGGAATGAAGTCTAACTGGCTCAAAGTGAACCCCAGTAAGGTAATGTTAATAGGTGAAGACTAAACTTGAGGCAGGGTCTGATGACTCCTTAGTACTAAAAGCTGAAGCAGTAATTCCATTTTGCTAAGGACGTTTTTAGAGTCGTAACTTTTTCATACTTCTCTTTGGATTCATCAGAGTGGCCGGCCACCTTTTTTCTTCTTGTTTCTTCAGAAGATGGAAACTTTTCTCCAAGACTCCTATTATTACACTACGATACAGTTATCAGTCCAAAGATGGATCCTATAGTAAATGATGCCAAGCATTTCTGATGAACAAAGAGAGCTGCATTTATTTTAAACACTGGTGGTTAAATTGAGCTATTAAATAAGACAGTATGATTTCAGTCATCAACTTTATGCTAATTGCCAATGTAGTTGGAGATTAAAGTTCTAATTTCTTTTTTTTTTTTTTTGGTTTTTCGAGACAGGGTTTCTCTGTGTAGCTTTGCGCCTTTTCCTGGAACTCACTTGGTAGCCCAGGCTGGCCTCGAACTCACAGAGATCCGCCTGGCTCTGCCTCCCGAGTGCTGGGATTAAAGGCGTGCGCCACCACCGCCCGGCTAAAGTTCTAATTTCTAAATTCATCAGTGTTATAGGAAAGTGAGGACTGGGCAGAAATTTTGTTTTCCTTTTGTATTTTTAAAGCATATTGAAATAACTTCTTGAGAGCAGGAACTGGTCAGATATGTTGCTGAATTTACAGAATTTACACTGGAAAGGTAACTTGCTTCTGATCAATGATCTAGAACTAAAAACTTTTCCTCCTAGTCTGTGCCACATGTCTCTGCAGTTAAGTTTTGTCTGGATTCTGATATTAGAAGAATTCACATTTAGGATGAGGTTTTAAAAAGTTTTCTATCATTTAGAAATGGAATCTTGTCAAATTTTTACCAAAGAGACCTAGAAGAAATTCCTGTTAATCTTGAACTTTTTTACATTCTAGAATTGTAATCCAGATACTTTGATAACAGATAACAAAACCACAAGAAACTAGGTGTATTGCTGTATTTTTAAAATTGTACTAGATACCAAAAAAGGACTTGCTTTTACATTAATTATTTCCTTTTATGATTAGATGATAATGTATAAATACACAATCCATAAATACATAAAAAATTAACTCTGCCAACTGACATTAAAGTAAGTGGTTAATTGTTTTTTTTCCTATCCCCAAAACTGGGGTCAGCAAACGCACTTGCCATGAAAGTTTGATGAGGCAAGTTTGATCCCTTGAGTCTGTGGAAAGGTGGAAAGAGAGAACCTCTCCACAGGGTCGTCCTTTGGTTTTGACACGCATGCTGTGGCACATGCACCACCCCAGCACTAATAGTGATCGTAAATAAAACCCTTTCCAAAGTGCTTCATAGCTAGCATTCTAGTCACAGATGAAGTCATCAGAGCAGTGAGGTCTCCAGATTCTTGTGTGAGTTTAGTGCTTCTGTTTTTGCTGTCATGTTTGAAAAAAATATTGTTTCCATTACTTAATTATGTTTGCCTAGGTCCCAGGTAATTGCTTTAGTTGAAAATAATCTTTTATTCACTCGGTAATATGAAAATTCATGCCTTCTATCCAATACTGATAGTTAAGTAAACTTAATATAATATAAAATTTGATAACCTGATGTCTATTCTTTTTTTCTTATTTGCAAAATACTGTTACTATTAGGTTACAGTGAATGAATAAGAATTGTTTTTAGTGTTTTTCTTATGATGCTCTAGGAAATTTTACCATTTGATAATGAAAATTTTGTTGGCTCCTGTTTATATAAAAGACTCCTCATCAAAGCTTCAACCTTTGTTTATGTTGAGCTTTCTGAATAATTTGATCTTCTGATTCCTTTTTTTAAACACTTCCACCCAATAGTTTAGGTGGTTTAAGTCATTGCTCTGTAATGAAACTCTTAATTGTTTTAATTGAATTGTTTACCAATGACAAATAACTAGATAATAGTCTATGTTTTGAATTTTAACTATTTTTTAAAAACTGGTTATAATTTAATTGGGTTATTTATTGAGTCATTTTTATGAATTGTAATTCATAAAAATGAATTCATGCCTTTGTTCCTTAAATATACTGACCCTAAGGAAGGCAAAAATGTCTTCTTTACAACCTATGACTTAAAGACTGAAATTGTCGGTTTTAACTTAATAATGGGAAGGAATATGTATTGTGTACATGTATAGTGAGCACTGGTATGTTAAGAACGCCAAGTTTTGGTTTCTCCACAAAGCAAAAACAATTTTTTTTTTTTGCTAAATTATTTAGTTTTCTTTCTTAAGAGCTAGGATAAAAATCTAAATTTAAGGTAAGGTTCATATGTTTTTGCATGTGTGTGTGTGTGTGTGTGTGTGTAGGTGAAGCAATAGTATTTTTATTATACAGTTACATTGTTTTGAGTTTGAGTTATCTAGCTGAGCTGGGGCTAAGCCTAAACAGTCAGTTACTAGTTGCTATTTGTTTTGGTAGAAAAGCACTGCTGTCTTAGTAATATTGGAGTGGATATTATCATAAAGGTGGTGGATAGGATGAGGTCATTCAGATCATTATTTTGAGTCTTAGTCTCTTGGTATCTTATTGTCAAATACTAATGTCTTTTAAACTGTATTTTATATTACCAAACTAGTTTAAACTGAAGCTTCATTAAACAAAACAAAACTAATTTTTGTTTTTGTTGTAACAGGCAAATGATGCTCCCATAGAAATAAGTACTTTGGGGATAGTACATGGTCTTCTTATAATGCTCTAATGTTTAAATGTAAAATTGTTATGGATCTGTTAATACTGTGTACCTGGTCTTTTAGCTCTTGTTTGTATGGTTTCCTGTAAGGTAGACTTGGCCTCTCAACATCAATGCTAACTGATTTGTGTCATAGGTGTGTAACATGCCAGTGTCTTTTAGTATTGTTCCCATCAAGATTGTTTCCTACAGATCAACCCAAGAGAAGAAAAGTACTTATAAATAGGCATTTCAGTTATTTCAATCCTTACTTATCATTTCACCAAGTTTTTAGTTTTCCATGTATTTTCTGAAATATAATTTTGACTGGAAACTGTGTCATATTTTCTAATTATTGAGACATATGCTATTTTTTGAATTCATGTATTATAGATGTTTAAAATTTCTAGTTCCATTCTTTGTATTAGCTTTCTATGCAAACCTAGAATTTTAAAATTAGCTTTGACTTGGTTAAGTTTTCAAAGTTAGTAATATTGCGAAAGTTTAATATAATAAACTTTGAGCTGTGACCCCTTTGCTGTTGTGTTAGTCAGGTTAGAATTTAGCCAATGGTGTGTGCCTGTGTTCACTTAAACATGGTGTTTGTTGGTTTTGCCCTATGTTATTAGCTTTTTGTTTTTTCATTTTATGTGGCTTGATGGGTTGGTTTCAGAAGGCTTACTACACAAATGACAAAGTTCTTGCTGAATAAATATTGGTTTATGGCCAGAGAGTTTTGGAAAACTGTGACTCTTAAAATTCTACTGTGAATAAATTCTGTGAGGGTTGAATTACAAATGGTTATAACTCCTAAGTTTTCTGCAGAAGAACTTGCTTTTGTAGCAGACATGATTTGTTTATATCCATAGAGTTTCACTTGCCCTTTCTGCTTCTCCTTTCTGCCTGCTCATTTAACAAAACTGAGTGACCTACTGCTTTTCTTCCATCAACCAGATTTCTCTAATCATGTATCACAAGTGTGATTTATGATCTTTCCTCACTACTTTTTGTGATCACTACTATTTGGATTATCATACAGTAAGACATCATTATGTGGATGCCCCTAACTATGGAATCTGGGCCCTTTATTCTGTAAAAGGAGAAAGTTGTAACTAATCCTGTAGATGGGAGTCCAGGATATCTGTTTTAGGAGTTAATACCTTAAAAATATTTTCCAAGTTCTGTCAAAAAGTGTGTTTATGCTAAAACCATGGATTTCTAGTATTTCTACAATGGTGTGTGTATAATACATATAATTTTCTTGCAAAACTATTTAATTTGTGAAATTTTGCCTTATGTTACAAGGAATTTAGCTAGAATCTTTCCTTAAGCAGGCTGACCTTCCCCCAGATTTTTTTTTTTTTTGCATCAACAGCACTTGTAGTTTATCATAAAGAACATTTATGAGTATAGGAAATTTTGTCTTTTGCTTAGCTAATGTGGTTTAATTACTTTTCTGCTAGCAAGAATATTAGGTTTATTATGAAAGAAGGGAATGCCTTAAAGTCCCTTTGACTTGAAAACTAGGTGACTCCAGGCCTTCGCTGCTTCTGTCACTTCCTCCTCCAGCTCATTCTTCAATATCTAAAGAATTTAAGAGAGTTTACTTCATAAACTTTTCATTAAATTATTATTAAGAGATTTAAATTAAAACTCAAAAATAATTAGAACTTAAAGGGAGTAAATTTTTGTGTGGAGACAAACTTTCTGTGTATAGACAGAAGGAAAAAGACCTTTCTTTCTCTTTGTCCTAGCATACTGAAGTATGCAGCATACTCTAATCCCTAAGTTTCAATAGTGAGGGCTTGGATAGGCATAAAGAGAGACAAGATATACAGTTGGAAAGATGGATCTTGACTTCTCTCATCCTTGAATAATGGAGATGTATATAAGGTCTGGAGAGTACTGCCTACATATACATCCATATCTACATGCACATATATGCATATACACAAAAGCATACACTTTACATTGCTTACAGTTTTGCTTAGGTGTAAGGAAAACAATTTTCTGTTCAGTAACATGGGAGATTGTACATTTGTTTTGTTTTCTAGACTCTTGCCTTATTGTCCTAGTTAGGTTTCTCTACTGCTGTGATAAAACATTTTTAAAGAACGAATTTCATGGAAGAAACATTTTATTTCACCCTGTAACTACCAACTCCCTTGCCACAGTCCATCATTGAGGGATGCTGGGTCAGGAACTCAGAACCTGGAGGCAGGAACTGAAGTAGAGATTGTGGAGGGTGCTGCTTACTGGCTTACTCCCTATGACTTGCTCAACTTGCTTTTTTTTTTTTTTTCTATTCTTTTTTTTTTCATTTTTCTTTATTAAGAAATTTTCTACTCACTCTACATACCACCCACAGATCCCACCTCCTCCCAACCCCCAGCCCTCTCTCCCAAGCCATCCCACATCCCCACATCCCCCAAATCAAGGTCTCCCATGGGGAGTCAGCAGAGCCCGGCACACTGAGCCTAGACAGGTTCAAGCCCCTTCCCACTGCACCAAGGCTGCACAAGGTACCACACTGCAGGCATCTGATTCCCAGAAGCCTGCCCATGCACCAGGGATGGATCCCGATCCCCCTGCCTGGGTGCCCCCCAAACAGTCCGAGCCAAACAACTGTCTTCCGTATCCAGAGGGCCTAGTACAGTCCCATGGGGGCTCCACAGCCACCAGTTCACAGTTCATGGGCTTTCACCAGTGTGACTGGTCATCTGTGCACATCCTCCCATCATGATCTCAGCGTCCCCTGCCTGCAGACTCCCTCCTCTCTCTCATCAGCTTGCTTTTTTTAAAAATATGACTCAAGGTCACCTGCCCAAGGGTGGCACTGTCCACAGTGGGCTGGGCTCCTCCCGCATCAGTCATTAATCAAGAAATGCCCTAAGCCCACAGGCCAATCTGATGGAGGTAGTTCTTCAGTTGAGTTCCCTCTTCCAGGTGTCTCAAGTTCGTGTCGTCATTAAAAAAAAAAAAAAAAAATCAGTGCACTTACAGTATCTCATCCTGTTGAAGCCTTGAGATTGGATGCGGAACTTACAGATGGACCATTAGAAGCATATTGTATATGAAATTATAGAAGTATGGGTTTATTTCCTTAATTTTTCCTTTATGCTAATTCCTAAGTAGTATGCTATAGTTCAGTACTTATTGTAGAAGATTTAAAAGGTAAGACTAAAAGGTAATACATGTGTCTTAGTACATGTGTATGTTTATCTTTGATTTTGCCTTACTTAGCAGTTTTGACATTTGGATATTCCTGAAGTCTTATGTCTTTCTCTTTTCAGAATCTTTAGAAGAACAAGATGTTCTTGGTAATAGTACAGAGCAGGGAGATGACAAAATACCAGTGGCAGAGCAGACGAGCCAAGTGATTGAAAAAACATCTGGTTCAGAGGAGCCAGAGGCGAAACAAGAAGAGACAGAGAATGAGGAAACATCAACAAATGAAGCCAAGTCAACAGTTCTCAGAGCTGATTCTGTTTCTAATCTTGAACCAAGTGGAGAATCTTTGGTGACACAGTAGTAAATAACTCCATGTGCCTTCTGCTGGATATTTGTAGTCTTGCTGATGTCAGTTACTGCCTTTTTTTTTTTTTGGTGGTACTCAAAAAAATGCCTTTTAGATATATGCTTAATACTATTCAAATTCAGATTGCCTAGCAAGTTCAGTGTGTTCAAGTCCTGTCTACTGGGCATTGAAAATAAAAGCACGTATTATCACTGAATGTGCAGAGACCCACATAGCTGTTAGATACTTTGTGCATTCTAAAGTTTAAAAAAAAAAAAGCATTTTTGTTTTCTACACCTATAACTTGTAAATAATACCCATTTTGACATAGGAACAATTTTGGCTAGGAATAATTTCTTTAATGGTGTTTAAGGATTGAAACATAATTAAGATTTTGAATACTTCATCATTGAATTTTAAGTCCTGAGATATTTGCCAGTGGGAAGGATATATCTATTTAGGTGTTTACATTAAGTGATACTGAAAGCTGTAATCTTAATTACATAGGCATTGGTACGAACTGTCAATAAGAATGCAACTGAACAGTCAAGTGCAGTGTTTCTTTTGATGTCTTTTATTTTGCAGCTGGGCCAAAGGCATGTGATGTATATAGTTAGTTTATGTTTACATATTAACAAATAGGAACTATGTCTGCACTTGACTGTACTTGAATTCTTGGTATTATTTATATTTGTAAAATAATGATATATAAATGAATTTGTGTGTGCGTGTGTTTTGGAAAATAAAGATGACCTGGCAATGTTTTTTCTTGGTTAAATATCTAGACTTCTTCACGTAGTGTTTTAATGGATGACTAGCTATCTGAAAAAAAAAAATCTTGGTAGGGAGAGTTCACTGTATGATAAATACATAGTAAATTATGTTTTTGTTTTTCATTTAGATTTTCAAATTCAGAGAAATAAGAAATTTAGTGTTTTTAATCAGAAGTTAAAATGTTCTGATTTTGAAACACATTTATGCCCTTTGTGGTTTTTAACTTTGAGAGACAAATACATTTTTGAACTAGGCATTTAGCTGCTAAGGAAGCTCGCCGGATTGAATGTGTATAGCAAGGAGCAGGTGTGAAGGTTTTTGATATAGACTAGTTAATCTTAAACACACTCCGACAATTGGTTCTAGCTTCCTTTATGTGTCTTCTCCAACATTGAAACAATTAGAAGTGAAGTTATTATGCCATAGGGGAGACATGTTAGCATAGTGTGTCTGGTTTAAATTAAATGTACTTTTATCATTTAAAAGTTTATTTTTATGATTTAATATCTCATCTGACATATATTAAAGAACCTAGTTTGTTAATAGTCTGAGACATTTTAGTTTGGTGCCCATAAATTCAAGGATGTGGAACTAGACTTGAATGTCAGCTTTGTAATCCTGGGCATTTCACCTAACCTCTCCACATTTATTTCATCTGTAAAATGGGAAGAATAATATCTGTTTTCCATAGGTACTGGGATGATAAAAATAGTTTATATGATGTGCCTAGCTTTCTTGCTGGATAACTAATAGATATTAGAATACATGGTATAAATTATTATTACTGTTGTTATTATTATTATTATTATTATTATTATTATTATTGAAACCCTTGTGAAATATGGAAGGGCCATAGATTCCTTCTATGGCAGGTAATGAAACTTAAAATCATGAACATATAGTTCAGTTGCTCTGAACAGAAACAGCTTTCTGCATAAATGTCATATGCGCGTGTCTAAATGATAGATTAAAGAAATGGAGAACTGAAACTATGAATTTAACCCTTCTTAAAAAGCTGTGTTTCTTTTTTATGAGGGTGAATGTTTCACTTGCATATATGTTTATGTACTGCATTTGTGTCAGGTACCTGCGAGGCCAGAAGAGGGTACTGGATCCCTTGAAATGAAAGTTACAGATGATTGTGAGCTTCCACATGGGTGCTAGGGATCAGATTTGGCTGGAAGAGCAGGAACTGCCCTTAACCACTAAAGCCATCTTTGCAATTTCATGTAACATTTTTTTTGTTTTTAAATTTTACTAGCTCTGTGTGTGTGTGTGTGTGTGTGTGTGTGTGTGTGTGTGTGTGTGTTAATCGCACCTTGTTGAGTCTTTTTAAAACATATGATAGACAGTGCTCGAATATGAGTACCTTAGAGAAAAGGAATTTAATGATGAAACTGAGGAGATATTATAAAAAAATCTCCAAAAAGAAATACAAAGGGAAGGCTAGAGAGATGGCTCAGTGGTTGAGTGAGTGTGCTCTTACAGAGTGCAGGAGTTCGCTTCTCAGCACTCAGCCTGGGCACCTCCCGCCCACCTGGAGCTCCTTCTATCTGGCCTCCTAGGACACCAAACTCATGTGCATTCTCTTCCTCACAGATACACATAATTAAACATAAAAATCCAGATCTGAAAAGGAGGTTAGTAAAGCTAACACAATGGAGAAGTAGTTAGTGTATTTGAAATCTCATTCTGATGTTATGACAACAGCTGAAGAGAATGAGACGCCCCATTTCTGATTATCAAGACTAGTGTGAATGAGGGAAGCAAGCTGTCAAGCCAGAGTGATGGCTTCCCTGTCCACAGTCAACAGTCTTTTAATGTCGCCTCGTTGTGTCTGGTGTGACCTACAGACAGCGTTTGGCCTCTTCTCCCTGTCTTTCCCCACATCCTCCTCTCAATCCCGTGGCCAGGCTTTGTCCTTTCCTGCCTTAAGTGTCAGCTTACATTGTTTTCTGACCCTCCGCCTTTTAGTCCTGCATCTCTCGTGTGTCCCTTTGTCTTTGCTCAGGGTCCTTACTGCAGGGTGTCCTGTTTCTCCTCAGCTCTCTCCACAATTGGCCTCTCTTCAATCTGTGTGTTGAGGGTCTAGCAGGGCTCCACTCATTGAAGACAAAGTTCTTCACTCGTTCTCCTGCTTGGCAGCTTGATTTGCCTGAGTGCTCTTTTTTTTTTGAGACAGGGTTTCTCTGTGTAGTTTGGGTGTCTGTCCTGGATCTCACTCTGTAGACCAGGCTGGCCTCGAACTCACAGAGATCCGCCTGACTCTGCTTCCCGAGTGCTGGGGTTAAAGGCGTGTGCCACCACTGCCCGGCTGGCTGAGTGTTCTCTTTCCTTTGAGACACCTTTTTCCTTTTGGTTCTGGACAGATGCTACCATTATCTTCTGGTTTCTTGTTTTTGGTCCTTTGAATGTTGGTACTTCCTGGCTTTTACCTCCTGTCAGCTCTTCACTCTGCACATTCATTCCCTGGGAGCTCTCATCAATGCCCAGGTATTTAGCAATTACTGTCTGTCTATGAATGTCAGCTCTCTAGCTTGCTCTGTTTCTTTTTCTTCATAGCTCCATATTTACCCACCTACTGCCATGGCATTGTGAAGTCAGTATATTTGAAAAAGAATGCTTATTCAAACTTGTTTCTCATTTCACCAAATAGCATCAGTATTCAAGCTAGAATTTAGAGTCTGTTCCTTCTTCCTTTCCCTCTGTAGTCCAACTGTCCATCCCAACTTCTTAACCTCCCTGCCCCCTCCCCAGAATATTGCAGTATAGCCTAGCTTGGTCTGGAATTTGTGACTTGTGGCCTCAGCTTCCTGGGTGCTGGCATCATTTCTGTGAGCCACTATGCCTTGCTCTCTTAAACCCCTTACATTTATTTTATTTCTTTGTCTCATTTGAATGATATTAATAATAAATTTGCATTGTTCCATCAAACAACATCTGCCTGCTGTATATATGTGTGCTTACACACAAGTTGTTTTTTGTTTTTTTTTAACAGTCCTGTGAAGATTTTATATCTTGAGTTATGGGAAAGAAACAAGATGTAGAGAGAATAAGCAGTTTTCTCTGAGTGAGTTCTACATCTGGTATGTGGAAATCAGAGATCTGAATGTAAACCAATGACTAATGGTGACTTCTTTCTCGTCTTTGGAGTTGAACCCACAGCCTCATACATGTTAAGCACAGCTCTGCTATTGAAATATCCCTCCAGCTCCTAAAAGCCTTACATTTAGTCATCATGGGGTTGCCTTTTAATCCATGCCTCCATGGCCTCAGGTTATGAAGTCTACCTTTTAAACTGTCTGTCTTCATCTTGATGCTTTCCTGTCCGTTCTATGCAGTTCAGACCTTGCTTCTGCCTTCCGTGATTGCCGTGTTTGAGAGATCTGAACTTAGGATCTGACCGACACAGCCAGTGCAGTTTCTTCCTCCTCGGCTCTGACATCTCTTCTAGCATTACAGCTAGTGTCGCTGTCACCTCCCCTCACCACACACATACTCTCAGTATACATACATTGTTATTTTCAATGCTGATACATACAGAGTTTCTCTCGGCCTACTAGATGTCTCAAGCTCCTGCCCCTGAAATACCTCCTGTTTATGTAGGTCCTCAAGGAACTCAATATATAGTTGTTGAATTGGAGTAGCTCCACTTGGAATCCAAGGTTGGACAGTTTATTATTCATTAAACTATGCATTTTTTATCATGTACTCATTGTGCATACACACCTTCAGATTAGAATCAAGTCAGTAGCTGTGTGTATGTATGTGTGTGGGGGAGACTGATTTTAATTATGTAATGATTGTCATTAAATACTATACGCTGAGTTCCAATGCTGAATGATTGTCAGTTTTAGGTCAGGAACAGCGAGCATCTGAGCCAAGTCAGATCTGACTTACTGTAGGATGATTCTATTGAACCATTAATTTTTCAGTGTTTCAATCTTGGTAAGTTTAGGACTTCTTTAGCAACTTTACTTGTGTTTCCAACTGACAGTGCCTAAATTACGAGACGACCTGTTAGATTTTTGTATATATCAGTTGAAGGGGTGAAGGAGGAGGACAGGTATTTTGAGTGGCTGTGGGTAATGAAACTGCTCTAGGACAATAGCAGAAAAAATGTCAAAGACATTAGATACAGTTCACAAACTAAAGAACCATCAAAAAAAAAAAAAATTCAAGTTCCAAGTAGTAATGAATCAGAGTAGAAATAGTTGTGTATTGAGACCTGTTAGATCATAATTTTATAATTTGATGTATTTCAAGTTTATTAAATTTCTAAGTGTGTTAATACTACTGGTCAGTGGATAAATATATTTTAATTTAGACAGACAGTTATATAAATATGGAAAGGTTATGTCTTTGGAAACAATAAAAACTGAATGCAGAATTAAAACGTTATTTAATTGAATCAATCTGTGAGCAATTTGTCTTATTATTATTAGCTTATTTGAACTAGTTGGCATTTTGTACTTGCATTTTATTTTTTACTGTTACCTTTAACCTTTCTAGGGCCCGAGAGATGAATCAGCAGGTAAAGGTAGGCACCTGCTGCCAAGCCTGATGCCCTGTTTGATTTCCAGGACCCACATGGGGGAAGGGTAGAACCACCTTCCTCAGGCTGGCCTCTGACCTCTGCGTGCCTGCTGGGGCTCATGTATGCCCACACATATACACAAATGAAATCAATGGAAAAATAAAGACTTTAAAAGCATTGCTGAAGTTGGAGCTGAGAAAGCATTTTTTGTAAGCGTGAGGACCTGAGTTTGGGTCTGTAGCTCCTGTGTAAAAACTGGGCATGGCTGCCTGGGGCTGTCATCCCATCACTGACGGGTGGTGACAGGTGGGTTCAGGAGCATGCTGGCCACCCCCCCACACACCTTTTTCCTCTGGCATCAAAACTGATAAATGTTGCAAGTACTCTTAGAAGATTAAAAAGTGTTCTTAAAGCATCCCTCAGTCCAGAATTGTGTAAAAGAGGCCAAATTTTTAGCTACTCAAGACTTTTACCAGATCTCTGGCATTTGATTTAGGAAAACTTGAGGAAAATGTATTTTCATGGAAATAAATATTTCTCAGTCTGCTTTGAAGGGTGTTGCAGGCAGGGCGTTTGGTGCACATATTTGTAATGCCTCCTGTTGGTCAAGCTTATGCTCTAGGTACTATCCCATGCATTCTCTTAGGGTTCTCCCAGTGACTTCAAGGAGAGAGCAGTGTCACATGGAGATTAAATTCATTTCCTAAAACTGTTTGGTTTATGGGGCTGAAAATGGGATTTAAACATGGGGACTGCAGTTGCTTTCTTCACCACCTGTGAGCTCTCCTTTAGCTGAAGGAATTAGGCTAAGGCTCTTCAGTTTTTCATGCTTGTGTAGTATTTCACAAGTCATTCGTGCAGGAAACACCTGGTTGCTTGTTATTTCTGCTTCTCAGTTCTCACTGAATACTGGAGATAGACCATGTTTCTTAGTTATTGTCTCCCTCTTGATCGCAAACCAAAGTAAACCAGAACTTGGCACAGGATGTGATACAACTATAATCAGAAAGCAGATTCCTATTACTAAGTGCTGGACTTGCCTTTGCCAATACCAGAGGTTGATGTGCTGTTTCTGCCTGAAATTCCTGTGAATGATGGAGTTAGGACTAGAAAGTGAGTACTTGCCCAAAGCACTACTGAGGGCTAGGATATATTGTCTTTGTCCTCTTGGTGCCTGACATCGAAGAGCCTCAATAACATGAATGAACTAAGCTGGAGACGGCCTAGACACATGTGCTGCGGTGGGAGAGTGGAGAAAGCATGGCCCTTGCTCCAAAGAGCCTGTTACCTGGGCTGGGTTTATGAATTTCCTTTTTCCTACTTCTTCTAAAATATTTAGAGAAACCCATAAATATTCAGTTTTACTATATACCTCTCTCTGGCCTTGAATTTGCTCTGTAGACCAGGCTGGCCTCGAACTCACAGAGATCCACCTGCCTCTGCCTCCAGAGTGCTGGGATTAAAGCCTGTGCACCACCACACCAGGCTCTATATTGATTTTTACTTACCTATTTCCAACCCATTTGATGCTATGACTGATGTTAGCTTAGAGCTTTTCTTAAATTCCTGCTTTTTGACATCTGGATCTAGTGGGGCCTAGAATCACATATCCCCTTGTATGCAATGATTCAAGAATATTTCCTTTCTCAGTATATAGATTTTAAAGTTGGGTATTTGCCTCAAAGAAAAACATAGCAAAAGGAAATGGATCCTGTGCTTGTACAAGTATAATTAAGACATTCCAATGTGTGTTTTATGAACTATAAGCTGTTTGCTAAAAATGAACCTGGCTACTCATGTCTTATTGTCTATAGCAAGAATTCCAAAGGCTTTCCTTACTTTCTAGGAGTTGACAGATTTTTTTTAAGTTAATAGTGCTTTGCTTTATACAATCTTTCAAAAAAGATTAAATAAAATTTGGAACTTTTATTCTCAACTGTGTGTTCACATCGCTACAGTATATGGATTTTCAAATTAGAATGCTTTGGGTCTTGTAATTAAAACTGAATACAGATGGAAATAAAATTGATATTCTTGAGACCTATTTTGGTTGAATGTTGTGATGGATTCTTGCTGTTCCTATCCAGCACATTTTTTCTTTTGAATTTCGAGAACCTTTTTTTTTTTAAATTCTTTTTAATTGTGAGACCTTTCTTCCCTTAAATACAGCAACCTCCAGTTTATTTCAAAATAATGATAGGCAAAATTGCTCAGTTGTTAAAGGCACTTGCTGCTAAGTCTGACTACTTGAGTTCAATTCCAAGACCCACATGGTGGAAGGGAAGACCTGATTCCAGAAAGTTTTCCTCTGACCCCCCCATATATGGGTCATGATACAATACTCGCACCCCAAATAACTAATCTATTAATAAACCATAGAGATTTTCTTTCTGCTCTTTTCCACTCTTCCTTCCTAGTGCCCCCTGGTCACTGATGGAGAGACCAGCAGCAGTTCAGATTTCAGTAGATTCTGAGAACCAGTTTGTCACCCAGCAAACACTGGTTTTGAATTCAGGATGCCACACAACTACTAGATTGTATGTCAGCAGGGTTGTTGTGTGTGAGGAGCGTGAGGAACAATGACTTGTCTTCTGATCAAGAAGCTACGTTTCAGGCTCCTGCATTCCAGATGAGTAGTGAGGTATGGCAGCTGACACTTCTGGTCTCAACAGTGCCTCCCACAGTCATGCAAATGATTGGTGTACTATGGGATTTTATTATCTCTAAAGAGTGATTTATGTCCTTATTTTTGCATTATTGTCCACCAGGTACTGCCCTCTGTCAGAGGGCCTGTGCTATTTAATTTTTTAGATCTTTGTCTTCATTAGTATAGCAATTTTTGCTTGTAATCATTGTACTAGACCTCGCTGATAAGCCAAGACACTGTGAGATTCATAGTGTTGACATCTAACCTTGCCACTGCCTTCTTGACCCTTCTGCTTCCGAAACATGGGTTCATTTTTTTTATAAAACCAAGGTAAAACTCCATCTATTTTTCACACATATTGTGGGCAGTTTAAAGGTTGGTCAGAATCAAATATTGTGCTTTCAAATCTGATAATGTATGAGTGCAGAAGGTTGACCTTTGCTACATAGTCATACATCAACGTGACATGAGCAGTAGATGCAGCAATTACCTTTAGTGTATTGGAATGGTGCTTTGGCTGCTATCTTCTGTGCAGTTATTGCACAAAATTTAAAAAGGCGTTTAAGTTCCAGTTATGAAATTTGTAAAGATTTGAATTTTTGAAAATAATTGTAATTTATACATTTATTTCCAACACAAGCTTGGTCTTTATAAGATCCACTTGTTTACTAGTAAAGATTGTTAATTATTGCTCTGATAACAGGCAGATTAATGTAAAGCTATTTTGTGTTTTAGGAATAAGTTTTAAGACAGCTCAAAGGAGTTTTACCAAATAATTTTTAATCCATATGCCAGTGGTCAACTAAAAGCGTTTAGTGATAATAAGGGCCCTGTTGTAATAACACAATGCTGCATGTAGGTTCTGCCGTCTGTAGGGTTTTTGTTCTAGTGTGCTCATTTAATTATTCATTTTCCCTTTGATGAATGTTATCTATGAGCCAGGCATGGGAGATAGAAATGATATTAGAGTCCTATTCTCAAGAGTTCATAGTGCCTCTGTTTTGTCTGATAGCCTGATTCAACCATAGGATGTTCTGAGATGAAAACACAGTGACTTCACTTAATTAAATGCTAAGTGAAATGTGCATTGGCCAGTGTGGCCCAGAATGGTAAAGTTCTGTAGTTCCCACCCTGTCTTCATTGCCCCGTGACTCAGTTTACCCCTTTACTAGTTCTCTTTAAATCCCTCCTTTTCTGACATAGAAGTTAGTAGGAATTGAAGGAGTTCAGAGGCCTCTGGGAATGCTTTTTTTACAGTTTTGTATGTGTACACACGTTGATCCTGGAAGAGAACACAGATGTCATTTAATTTTCTAAGAGGACCAGGAGTCAAAGAGGGGAGGCAGTTGTGCCTTGGGGAATACTTAACTGCTAAATGATTACTCAGCATGATAGTAGTGTTCAGACTGATGTAAAAAGTTGAATCTTTCTTCAGGTGTTAGAGAATTCTTCAAACTGTCCTCATGGACAGAAGCCACACTAAGTGGTAAAATTAATGGAAAAGTGTGTTCAGTGTGTTTTTGGACTCATGGTAGCTTTTTTGATGATCACTTTTGTATGGAAGAATGGCTTGAACTGTGTTGTATTTTTAAGTTTTGAAAATGAGGTGGAGTATTGTGAGGACTCCTAGTACGTTTGGCATTATAAACACGGTATTTCTGCTTACTCCATTCTACTTTATTCTTTAGCTGTTCCAGTCCCTCCCTCCTAGGAAGCTCCTGCTTCTGCAAGGATGTCATGAAACTCATTTTTCTCGCTCATGTCTGCTTTTCTCTATCATGTTTTTGTCCTTTCTGTTCTGGAGAGTCAAGCCAGGGCCTAGAAAGCACTCCACCACTGAACTTCATCCCCAGCACCGAACATCTCTGCGAAGCTCTTTGGCAGCTTTCTACCTTTTTAACACATTGTTTTCTCACCTGGGGGCTTCCTTTTTAGTATTTAGTCCTTTTGGTTTGTATATTTTATAAATTATTTAATACTGCTATGTAATTAACTATATTCTTAAAGCAAAGCTGGGTCTGAGCAAGATACTCTGTGGGTGCCACCAGAATTGGCTTCTTGTGGTTATTTTTACATGAACTGCGGTTACCAAACTCCAGAATCAATCACTGTCCACTGTTATCATCTGAGGCCTTGTAGACATCTGCCACCAAGAAGAGACTGCGACCGTTTACCCTGCTTTTTACAGACCCGGAGCAGCTGCCGATGGTAATGAGGTTCCCCTTCCATGTAGACAGCTGAGGACATGGATGCATGGATGGATAGTCTCAGTTCCTGCCTCAATTTCTCCTCCTTAATTTCTTCTGCATTTGTTTTTCTTTCAGTTTGAATTATTTAGTATAGTGAAAAAATAAATGATCAGGATGGAAGGGGAAGAGTCTTTAATTCCTTTAAAATACTTTTAAAGTTTAAAACAATGGTGTGAGAAACGTTTGTTTAATATTAGGAGAAAAGTGGATGCAAAGTTACAGTGCATATGGTCTGAACTTACATATAAGATTTCAGATGTGTGCGTGTGTGTGTGTGTGTGTGTGTGTGTGTGTGTGTGTGCGCGTGTGCGCGCGCGCGCGCGCGCGTGTGTGTGTGTGTGTGTGTGTGTGTGTGTGTGTGTGTGTGTGATGTTGGACATACATAAAAAGAACTTGAAAGAAATACAACAATGTTTTGACTATTCCCACTGTGGGATATACATTACTTTTTTCTTTTCTCCTTATGTTTTCTAAACTCACTATCAAAATTCACCACTTATTCTTTATTTCTGGCTATCTACATTTACTATTTTAAAATAAATTTAAAATCTAGAACGATGGCCTATAGAAATCACTGTTCCAGAAAGATTGCCAGATCTCAGTTCATACTCTTAGTTTCAAATTCAGAACATTTTTATATGTTTAAGTCTTTTGGGAAAGAGTTGACTTAAATTCAGCTTTAAAGTGGGAGAGACTCAGAATCTGGGAAGAAAAAGAGTTTATGTGAGCAATAAAATCTAGAGACCTCTGTTACCTGGAAAATGGAGAGGAGGAATGAATGTTTTATGCATGATACAGGGTTAAGAATTAGGAAGGAACTGGGGCTCAGATCACTTCAGTAGCTTACAGCACTCTCAGCTTGTCTGGTGCTGGGAAGGGCCTTCTGCCCACATTGGCATATTTCCTCGGCCTTCTTTTATGTGCACATATATAGAGATGCGCAGCTCATTAATTCTTCTAATTAAGAGAAATGAGTCAAGGCTTTTGTCTTCTAGTAAGTACTTATTTTATTATATTCAATATGGTGCCATAATCTTTGATCCCTTAAAATATTTCTTTGGACATCTCACAACTAAGCTCTTATGGAGACTATTTCTTAAGTGTGTTCAAATAATTTCCTAAAGTTCGCTTTGGATATAAATTTAGAAATGATTATGCTACAATATGTAGTAATGCATGCTAGTATAGTTTGGTCTAAAATTCTCACGCAACAAAGAAACTACAAAATAATGCAAGCTCACCAATTGAGAATTTATGACAATTTGTAATAAATTTGAAAATTAATTTCACTGTTTAGGGGATTAAAATACAGATAGATTTATAGTATATGTGAGATTTTGTAGGGCTATTACTTACGAGTTACATGTTTTAAATGTCTGACTATGTATAACAGTGTAATTGGAGGCATTTTGATGTATTAGTTTCCTATGAGATGGAACTGTTATTCATTACTTAATATTTGTCCAGCCTGTTGTAAGACCTTTTATATTCACAGTATTATTTGATCCTTAGAATGCTTCTTTGGAATGTATAATTTTTTTTTTTTCGTTTTTCGAGACAGGGTTTCTCTGTGCAGCTTTGCGCCTTTCCTGGGACTCGCTTGGTAGCCCAGGCTGGCCTCAAACTCACAGAGATCCACCTGGCTCTGCCTCCCGAGTGCTGGGATTAAAGGCGTGCGCCACCACCGCCCGGCGGAATGTATAATTTTTATTCCTATCTTGTAGATAAGGAAACTGATGTTCAAAGTTAACTAACTCATGTAAGATCACTCAGTAAGTGGTAGAGGTAGGGTTTGAACTTAGGTATCCATTGTGTAAGTATTTCATGTATCTTCTACTCTTTTTTTAAACCTATTTTTTTATTGATTCTTTGTGAATGTCACATCATGCACCCCCATCCCACTCATTTCCCAGTACTTCATGTCTGTCCCCCACCCTTGTAGCCTCCCCCCAAAAGAAAATAAAAGCTATAAAAATGATTTAAAAAAAAAACCACTTTGCTCCTCCATCTTGCCCTTCTCTCCATCACGTATTTGTTTGTCATAGTGGTATTGGAAGCTGCAGTGTGTCACACATTAGACCCTTTTGCCAAAACAGTTTTACTTGCAAATTTTATTGCAATGAGTTGTTGGTCTGGTTCAAGGTCTCT